AATGAATAGAGGGAATCACGGGTCAGTTTGGAAAATTATTGGACTGATCTGTCCCACCACTGCCACAGAGGAAAAAAGAATCTGAGGGTTATAAGATTGTGGGTTTTTTTTTTTTCAAATGTTTACAGGAGTTCAAACAACTGAGATTGGTATAGGATACATGCAGGCTTACTAATTTTTGAACCAAGTTAGCAAATACTCCATTTAGAAAGCTTAGTCAGTGATGAGGTGTGAATTGAAGAAAGAAGTGGTGAAGTCCTACAGCCATTACAGGTGAAAGCAGCAAGCTAGCAACTTCTCCAGTATTAAAATGCCATGGGCCAGGTGTCCCACTGCAGCAGTTCTCCACTTCAGCTACAGGCTGTGAAATACACACCACTGTATATGCAAGCTTTGCTGCAACTATGGCTGCGTGACTCTCTCCTTTGCAAGTAGCACCCTTCATTTTGAACCTCAACACAGGTGTAAAGCTAGGTAGATCCAGGCTTACTGAAAGGAGTTTGACTCAGTGATCCTCCCGGGTCTCTTCCAACTTGGGATATTCTATGATTCTGTGAAAGATTATTACATGTGCACAGGAAAGCCAGGAGTTCCCTTGATCTGTGCAGCAAACAATGCATACAGCAAGTAGAAATACTACTGACAAAACTGCATTCATGCAGTAGAAATCCAGGAAATCATACATATGGAAATGTAAGAATCACAAGACTGGAAGATTAGGTCCTTTAGGATTAGTTCATTTGATTAGGAGAGCAGAATTAAAATTTGGAGCTCATTTCCATTTTTCATGCTGGCAGTTCTGATTCATCTCTCTGCTGCTTCAACTCCAAAACAGGAAAAAGTGAGCGTGGTAACCAGCCAGGGAGTCTTATAAAAATATTCCTGGGCTGTACGAAGCAGCTGAAAACCAGCGTGACTCATACAGCATCTTCCACTATGCCTACACCAGCAAGCCCATGAAATGGGGCACCCACCCGAGCTCCTTGCTGCAAAAGCATGAGAACATAAAGAAACAAATGGTCCAAGATGGAGAAGACATTTTGTAATACTGTGCTTAAGTCCTGACCCTGTTGGCTTGAGTAGGAAGACCAGCACTGAGAGAAGAATGGCCATAGCTTCTCCAGAACTTGTCCCTGAGCTGTTTTGAATGCTTTGATAAAATCGATAGGCCCTGAACTTCCCTCAGGAAGTGCTGTTGGAAGAATTTTTGGAGGACTGAGTTGCCATGTGCAAGTGCTTGGTGAGTTCAGAGGACGGAGAGCATGATCCTGGGCTTTGCACTTCCATCTCCAGTGGCTGCTACAGACTGGACCTCACCAAGCACAACTGCTGAGTGGGGTGTGAGGCAGGAGTGGAGATGGGGCTGATTTTTTCAGAGACACTCCTTTTAAAAGCTGGGTTTGTTTTATCCTTTTACTTGTATTCAAGAACAAACTTGCTGTTACTGTGTACATGGCGAATAATCCCTATGTGAATGTTTTCTTTCCCAATTAGTATTTTCTTTTAAATCAAGCAATATGTTGACTTATTTCTCTTTTCATATCCTTACTCACTTACTGAAGCCAAACAAAAACGAAAAATGCAGTCAGATAAACAGCCATTTGTGTTTTGTCTTCATCTTCCAGAGTTCAAAGCTATATAAACAGTTCAACTACTTTACAGCATATTTAAGAAAATAAAGGCAAAGAAAAGCATAATGTTAACTTCTGGCTTGATTTGCTAAGAGCACTTCACCATACTTTGTGTGTTTGTACTTCTGCATAAACTAAAACAAACACCGTCAAAAAGGACTAATAATAAAAATAATTGCATCGTGGATGCAAAGAATGCTTTAAGAAAGTACAACTGAGGAAAATACGCTGTAAGAGATTACTCTTTTACATCATTGTCCCAAAGCTTGCTGGGGAAACAGATGAACATGTCCAAGCAAGTCCTGGGCAAGGGTTGTGAACTCCTTTGTCTGAGGGACACAGATGGACAAGGCCAGGGGCAGTGAGAGAGATAAGCAGAGAAGAACAGAGCTGTCTGCCATCAGATTCCTCACTACGGAATTCCCGCATGCTGACAGACTCTCCTGGGCCTGCTACCTGAGTCCTGCTGCTTCCTCCTGGATTGGCTCTGTGACTTCCTGCTGCTGCTCTCCCCCCTCTGCTGCTTTTGCCTCAGACCATTGAAACGTGCAGCGGGACAACCGTTGGGTCCTGGTGGTGACTATCCCCGCTTTACGTGGTTCTTGCTTCTTTCCTTTCTTTCCCCTCATTCCCTTCCCTGTCTCCCTGATTAGGATTTATAATAAACTGGTTGGATCAACATTTGAACTGTTGTTTCTTTATCTTACGCCGGGTATACAGACATTAAAAGAACCTCCTCTCCCTGCTACAAATTGGAGCAAGACATATGCTAATAAATTTGGTTTTGAAATCATCATTACTGGGTTAACAGTGGAACCTCATACTTTGCTTGCAGGTGTTTATGTTGCATTCTCTTAGCATGTAACATGCAAACTGCCTGAAGGATTTTTAGCTACCCATCAACTTTCTAAGCATCTGTCTAACTGAGTTCATTTAAAGGCCTTATGTTACACACAGATTTGGACTGAATATGAATAATGCACAAAAGCAACTTCCATTTTAAGGTCTCAGCGTTACACTGGAATCCAAAAGAATTTAAATGGTCGTTTGGATAACTGCATCTATTTTAGCTGTTAGGTTGTTTTTGTTGTTTTGTTTTGTTTAAGCAGATGGTATATATGGATATTACTCACAAAACAGAATTATCTTCATTTTTAGTGAGATACAGAAGGATCAGAGGAGTTACGTATATAACAGAGTTCAACATACAAAACCTGTCAGCCTTAACTCATGTGGCATTCATCTTTCACTTTTTTTTTTTGCCTTAAAGTGAAGAAAAACACCAAACAACCTTACGTGTGTTTAATCCTTTCAGTGTTACCAGACATCTCTCAAAGATGTGATGTGCTAAGCAGCGATTTATCAACAGTAAGAATACCTGAGTCATTAATCCAGATGAAGAAAGAAGTTGTACAGAAACATTTGGTTTGAGATATCAATAAGATAGCTCTGTGATTGCCACTAAAAAAGTGATGGGCCAGGACTGCTAATGGAGCATCAGTGGCCCTTAGGCCTATCTGACGTATAATACTAACTGTACTGATGTTTTTTCAAAGTCTACACTTTTCAAATGGAGTAAAGTTGGTGGTAAAATTCCAGCAGCTTGGGTATTGTATTTTCTGATAAAGTGAAACTGACCTTGTCAATTTACAGCCCAGCTAAATCTTGATGTAACGTAGTTATTGTTGTATAGATAAGTTGGGAACAGATCTGACCCCGGAAGACTGATTTTATGCTGGCTCGGAGTACAGTCAGTAACAGCCAATGTCATGTTGCTTCCCACCAAGCGGACGTGCCTACGGAATGCTTGCAGCTGACGACATAGAGAAGGACTGCTCACAGAGCAGTGCTTGCAGGTGCTCACCATGGGTTAAAAGCTTCATTTTCTAAGAGCAGAACTCATTCCTGGCAGGATCATCATATTGAGGCATATGATCTGTCACTGGACACTGAAAGAGCTCAGCACCTTCTAAAACTGCTCCCAGACCATTCAGTTTGACATTTAAAAATGCAAGCTAAGACGTGACATTTACTGTGCAAATTGTTTTCATCTTTCTTTTCCTTTAACTTTATAATGACTAGAAAATAAATCTAAGTGCCTAACAATTCAGATTGAGTGCGGATATACTGACGTTCTTTGTCAGAGCCCTACTGACTTACAAGATGTTATCCATACACAGATTTACATTATAACCTAAATGCAAAAATAGGATCTCAAATTGGTTAAACAAATGGATAAATCTGTGTAGAATGCATGTCTTGAAAAGCTCTAATTAAAACAGTGATTTTCAACAGACACTGCCCTCTTCCACTTTTTCCCACAACTGAACAGAAACTGCATTTTGATCTCTGTAGGACTTTGCTTGTTTTTCTTCAAATTTATTAGCTTCTGTAATTATATAGTCCATTTTATTGTTAAATCAGGAACAGTAAGAGAACACTCTAGGTTGTTATAGTCATTTTACAATGAGCATATCAGCTACAATACCTTTACCTAATGTTGTCATAAAACCAAACAAACAGAACCAGAACAGCAATTTTTTTTTTTCTTTTGACAAATCTGCTTATTGAGATATCGCGTATTCCGCAAGGAAGAAAATACTTGAAAAATAAAAAAGTTAAAATTTAGTTAAAAGCTTTACTTGTCTAGGAGCAATCTCATAAAACTTTTTAAGATGAGCACTTCACTTCACAAAATGAAAAACTATTTACAACGTTTTGCTTGCAGTTTGGTCACATTATCTACACACATTTGCAGAAGATCTTAGGCAAAATAGGTATGAATCTTTTTTCTGACATAAGCTATCAGATTGATTGCACATTTTCCTTTTACGTAATGGCTCTCCTATAGTGCACTGAAGTCAGTGATCACTGTCTAATTACATTCTCGTTTTAATTTATGGCTCAACAATAAAATCAATAACACTTCAAATCCAAATATCTGAGCGGCTGAATTACGTATAGTGTGAAACATGTGGATCCCACTTTTTCGGACCTCATTTTCAAAAGTTAGGCGCACAATAATTCACCTTGCTAGCACAATTATGGAACTGTGCAAAGAAACAGAGAACCCACACATCTATCTTGAAAATCAAGGCAACTCGTCACATTCTGTGAACTGTTTTCTAATCATAGCTCATTTAAAAAACATTCACTTCCCTATGGCACTATAATAAACTTCTCAGCACGCTATGACTGAATTACAGTATCTTTTACATACATACTACATTTTGGCCAATAATGTAATTTCCATGTTACACAATATCATTGCCTTCACAAGCAGAGTTGCTACATACATTCACAGTTTCAATAGATTGTAATTAGCTTCTCCAGTTGTGCTTTGAAGATTCCAAATATTTTTCAACAGTAAGTGCAAAGCAAATGTCCTATGCAGCTACAATTGGTCACAGAGTTATAAACTCCATAATTATGAGATGAGAGTTCTCTCATTCTCCATTTTCATCACCTGCTTTTTCAGGTATGACCTCCAGGCTTCGACGGGGCTTTGAGATTTCAGCATTTTCAGTGCCTGGCTTATTGAGTCCACATGAAAGAGTGGCATAATGGATTTGTTTCAGATTCTCCAGTGCTTCATTTTTAGCATATTTGAGAAGATCAGCTTGTCCCTGTAAAACAAAAATGGTGTTTGAATACGCAGTGGATAATAGAGCTATATATCTCTTTTTTGCCCTTCTGTTTATTTCAGACTAATGGTAGAGTTGCCCTGTTCAAATTAAGTAAATAAATAAATAGTACATTACTTCATGCTTGTAAAGTGATAAGAACCAAGATCCTTGCCAGCTCTGGACCAATCTGTTACATAAACAAAGGATAGGGATTATTTCTAACAGCTTTCAGAAAGGTGATCTGTTCTGTATTTATGACCTATGGGACTAAAAATGTTTCCTCATGGACAGAATTGTGGGGGCTCATTTATATACTTCAAGGAGCAGTTAAACAACTTTCATTTTTGGTTCTTGGAGATTTTTTTTTCTAAGCACTGTGACTAATTCAGTAGTAGCATGGTAAAGAGCCAAAGTTTGTCAAAATATGAAATACAAAATACAGGTCAGGAAGTGACAGGTAAAAAGCACAGTGACAACAGAGACTTCATAGGACTGTCTGCAGTTCAGATCTATCTTGCAGTCTTAGCCTAACTGCAATTCAGCTTACGCAAAGCTGTAAGAGAAACTGTCCCAGACTCAGGTGATCCAGCTTTCTGTATTAAAGCCCTGTAACTACCACAGCTCAAAAATCAGATGATGCTTCAAAAATACCAGATCTTAAGCAACATTAGTTTGTATGGATCTGTTGATCACAGCCTGAGCCTCTGATTGACCACCTGAGGCAAGCACTGAGTCAGCCGTGGGAACACAGGTGAAGGTGATTCAGCTGTGTGACCAGAAGAGGTGGAGCCCGGCTGCATCTCTCCTAGACCCCATTTAAGGGCTGACTGCCACTGAGGAAGGATCTCTCTCTGGAGATTGCTCTTTGTGGAGTTTACTGCAAGTCTGCGATACTGGTGAGCATTTCTATTCAATTGTCTTTCCATTGAAATAATTTTACTAAGCCTAGCTTTTGTACACCTATTGATTGTATACAGTTCCAATTGAAGGGCAGAAAACAAGCACACAAATAACCAAAAAAGGCACTGTGGTTCTTTGAGACTCTCATTTCATGTAATGCTTAAAAAGTTATGAACTTTGACTGCACCTTCTCCTGCAATAGGAGTATTCATGTCTTTCTGAAGTAAAAATCCAGCTCCTGACAGTCACTTCTCTTGTACAGACATAACTGCTATGTCACCTCTCTTCCTCCCCTAAATAAGGGTGAAGTCCTACTTCACTTTTTGATTTCAAAAATGAAGGAAAGGTAAAATGACAATCAGATTACAGTAGATGTGCACTCAAGTTGTGATACCTAGCCTTGCTTCTTTTAGCAACTATAGAATATAAATACTACCTTAAGAAGTAAACAGAATTACACACTTGAGGCACACAAATCAAAAACATATATTGCTTTCTTCAAAGAAATACCTCCTTAGAATAATCCAAGGCTATAATAACTAGAATGTCTTTTATGTTTACAGGGCAGGAAAAATCTCAAAGCTTTTCCAAACACAGCAAAAGCTTCAGTAAAACTTTTTTCTAAGGAAAACCAGGGATACTTTTTTTTTTTTGAAATTACGTATTTTTTTTTCCAAACTGACAAACAACTAAAAGCTAATTTAAAACACTCCAGCAGACTAAATGAGTCATATCTGGAATGCAACTGTCTGTAGCCCAAGCTCTGTTTTACATGGATTAGTGCTAAATAATTCTAGAAGTTTAATGAAGTTGTTTATTATAGGCAGACTTGCTAGCAGCAGTCTAAAATCACTATGTTTTTGGTTTTTTTAAAATGTTTTCAGTTGCTTATATGCTTGCCAAACTTTTACTACTTAGACTGTTATTCTCCATGCAGGATTTTTGCCACTGGCAGATTTTATTATCATTACTGTTAATATTATTCTTTAACCTCAACCATATGGATCATTCAGTTCTGAGAATAAAGACAGGAAAATGCCATCAAAAAAACTTTTTTTAAGAATCTTCCATCCTCCCACCAACTCCTTTTTGGGGTAAGAACTTGTAATTCAGCAACACAGGATCCAGAGTTGTGGATCCAACTTATGATCTTCTAACAGATACAAATCAGATTTTGAGTGTGGTTAGTACAATCACACAGGATTTCATTCTTGATCATTTTTCATGTCCTGACAACTCCAGCAGGTGGCAAGGCAACACACATTCCATTCTCACACAATAATGTGTTTGAAGAAAATGCTTGTCCAAGCTGTCCTACCACCAGCATTTGGTTACAACACAAGCAGTCTCAAACCCTGATTGGAGGAAGGGAAGAAATAGCTTGGGATGGCAACTGACAAGGAAGCAGATAAAGGGAAGGAGGAGAGAGCAATCTCTAGACCTGACCTGGCAAGTAGTTTATGACTGAAGAAGAAGAAACTGGATTGCATAAGGCAAAGTAGTGACAAGATCCAACTGAAGGAGACTGTGAACTAGCAAAAAATCTAACACAGTGGAAGAATGCTGAGTTTAGAACAGGTAGGTTGAGAAGAGAGGAAAAAGAATGAAATAACAGCTTGAAATTGAGATTGGAATACCTAAAAAATAAAAAACAGATCTGACAAAAAACATCATGTTTAAAGAACCCTTGAAACAGTAGACCAGTAGGAGTAACAACTCAAAAAGAATGAAAGAGCTTTGCAACAAATTAAAAGCTGGTGAGAATAATAATAATAGAAATCAGAACAGGTAAGCAAGTGCAGAATACAATGAAATCAGGTAACGTGATGAGAAAAAGTTAACACTCATCAGGAAGACCTTGGGGAAGAGGGGACAATACAAACTAAAAAGCAACAGGAAAAGCTGCCAGAAGGGAATATGAGGCACCAAGTGTGAAAAGAATAGTGGATGGAGGAGACAGAGGAGAAAAGAAGACAGAGGTTGGCAGGAATGGCTGGGTTTTCAGCTGGGAACACATCTGAACAAGACTAACATGGAAGACTGCGTCAAGAGAAGTGTGACCAGCAGGTTGAGGGAGGTGATTCTGCCCCTCCACTCTGATCTTATGACACCCCACCTCAAGTACTGTGTCCAGTTCTGGAGACCCCAACACATGAAGAACCCAAAGCATTCTATGATCCTATGTTAAGATGAACTCTATAGACAAGAATATATCTGGGGTAAGGAGTTGGATAATGTTTTATGATTTTTGGTTATTGGTATTCCACACCAAAACATCATGTAATGCACTGGGGGTTTGACTGCTGATGCTCAAGTTCCAGGTGCCTGTCCGGAGGAGGAGAACTACATTTCCCCAGGGGGCTTTGTGGTCAGCGAGGAGATACAACTCCTGGCAAGGTCACCTGATGTTCGCTTCTCCGTCTGCTTTTCTTCATCGGCTCAACTGGACTGCACTTCTCACCTCAGCGTTGTGGTGAGGCCTATCCACTTTCCAGACACACTCTCTCTCATTATATTTTGCTGATACTATATTGAGTAAATTAGTTTGTTCCACCTCAGATTGTTGCCACTGTTTTCAATTATTTTGGGGTCCTCTATTTCCCTTTTCCAGAGGTGCGGATACACGGATCCTTCTGCCCCGCTGGTCACAGAACCAGGCCGAACCAGCCTGTAAACCATTGACATTCTTGGTGGAGAATGCGGGCAACAGTGTGTGGCTAAATAGTAGAGAAGCTCACCAACTGGCTGGCATTGCTAGGGACTCAGCCATTGACAGAGGTATTAGCACATGCCAAAACCAGGCCATTACCCTCTGAAAGCGGATGTTGTTAGCTGTAAAAGAAAGATACCCCTTCAAAGATGATCTGATGCCTGAGAAGAAGAAATGGGCTGATATGGAACAAGGCATCCGTTATTTGAGAGAATACGCTGTGGTGGAAATGTTACATAGCCCCAATTTCATTCCTGATGAGCCAGACCAAGAACATGATCCTGAGAGAGCCAGGTGTGCACCAAACATGTGGCGTACATTCACGAAGACTGCACCAGAAAGGTACACCAGTACATTTGCAGGAATGTATGGCAGAGGGGAAAGAAGACCCCTTATAAATGACTTGGTTAATAAACTTAAATATTTTGAGTTACATTTAAGCCCTCTATGAGCTTGTGTTTCAGCTGTTGCAAAAGTAGCTGAAAAACTGGACAGAATGGAGAACAAACAAGAAGATATAATAGACAAACTATCAACCATGCCTGATGCTGATGAATAATCCATGGTGGTAACAGATACATCCAGTGAGGAACAGAATTCCCAAAACAGCCTACTGGAGGGGCTGATCAACTTGATTTCCTCCCAGCCAGTGTCATCCAATGTCTCAGCTATCAGAAGAAGATGTCCTCCTGATCGAGCAAGTGACAACAGTAAGACTATGTCACGTTTTGCCTTGTGGCATTACCTACGTGACCATGGAGAAGATATGAAGGAGTGCCATAAACAACCTACTCCTTCACTTCAAGCACAGGTAAAAGAATTGCAAGACAAATCAACCACCAAGGTGAACTTTGCCAAAAAGGTGATGGCTCCAGTTGCTGCAGACAACAGAGGTAACATACAGAGGGGCCCTGCCCCCAGCTAGGGGGGAGGAGGGGGATAATAGAGTTTATTGGACTGTGTGGATTAGATGGCCTGGCATATCAGAATCACGGAAATATAAGGCCCTTGTGGATACTGGTGCACAGTGCACTCTAATGCCCTTGAGTCACCAAGGGACAAAATCAATTTACACTCACAGGGTGACTGAGGGTTCCCAAGAGCTGACTATGTTGGAGGCTGAAATCAGCCTCACTGGTAAAGACTGGCAAAAGCACCCTACTGTGACTGGCCCAGGAGCTCCATGTATACTGGGTATTGATTACCTCAGAAGGGGATATTTTAAGGATCCCAAAGGGTATCGATGGAATAGCTGCTGTAGACACAGAAGGTATTAAACAGTTATCTGTTTTGCCTGGCCTATCAGAAGATCTGTCTGTTGTGGAGTTGCTACGAGAGAAAGAGCAACAGGTACCAACAGCTACAAAAACGGTGCACAGGCAGAAGTACC